GAGATTTAACAGGAAAAGATACTCTTACCACCACTATCATCATACTATCTCCAGCAAAAACAAAAGCTTCAGGCAAATTTTAAGTGAAGAGAGTTAATTATTATTAAGAGAGTAAGTTACATGACCTGCACCACAAATTTTAATCAACCCACAGTATGTTAATATTTAGTTACCATTTATTTTTGTGTAATGTATTTAATTATTTGTCAAATAGTGTGTGTTCTGGGAAATTGATAACACTAGCTCTAGTCTGATAACAATGCTATTTGGATAGACCCAAACAGTCTGGGATTAAAGAATCTAATCTGTAAATATTTATCAGCTAGGATATACAAAAGTCTGACTTTGTGGGGAAGAGACATTTGTTTCACAAAAGATATAAATTGTTATCTAAACCATGAACAATTTTTATTCAAAATAAAGTTTAAATTCTGTGTTCCTTTTGAAACCAGAAAACTACAGACATCAATATCTCTTCTTGTAATCTGGTAGTGATTAACTGTTATTTTCATGGAAAAGAATCATGTTAAGGTATTTAAATACCTTATTATTTATCAGTAAACTATTGGAAAGTACAGACAACAAATTTGTCAATGTTTTAGAAATGAGATAATAGCCTATGGTAAATCTAGCCTTAAGGAATTTAGAGGGAAAAAAAAGTGAGGGGAAATTTTAATCTTATACAATTTGAATAATTTAATAAACTTGATACTTTGGGCTTGATGACTAGCACCATATATTTATGGACAGTAATGATTTTTCAACTGAAATGAAAGATAAAAGTAACCTCATTTTTGATGTTTTCAAGATGATCCAGGCATACATGCCTTCAAACCCCAGTTCCACCTCTTACTAGACTGGTGAGCTTGGACACTTCACTTTCCTGAGACTCAAGAGTTCTTACACACAGTGAGGGTGATGATGACAGTTACTAAAAAAGAACTGCTGTGATGATGAGAATTAGGGTAAAAACTCTTTAACAGAAACACCTCTGAGAAAAGCCTTCATTCAGTTCCAACCGACTACAGGCATGAGGAATGTGGGCTCCGTGTTGCCAGCTATTCCAGCTCTTAGTTATATGTTAGCAACAAATCCTAACTTTTTTAAAACACTGTACAAACTAAACACAGTACCTCTCTGGGCTGAGTCCAGATTGCAAGATACTGGTATACCATTTCTGTTCTGGAGAATCACTGGAAATGCCACACATCCTGAGATTGAGCAAATAATCTAGAGTCAAGGTTGTGCTAGGGTTAGATGGATGTTCTAAAAGAAAGATGTTCTCATGTATTTGTTGATTGGTTGTACATCATCTTCTGAGAAGTGTCTCTTCAGGTCCTTGGCCCATTTATTGACTGGGTTATTTGTGTGTGTGTGTGTGTGTGTGTGTGTTTAGTTTTTTGAGTTCTTTATATACCCTAGAGATAAGTGCTCTATCTGATGTGTGAGGGGTAAAGATTTGCTCCCAAGATGTAGGCTCTTTATTCACCTCACAGATTGTTTCCTTTGCTGAGAAGAAACTTTTTAGTCCCATTTATTCTTGATTTTAATTCTTGTGCCACAGGAGTCTTATTAAGGAAGTTGGGGCCTAATCCCACATGATGGAGATTAGGGCCTACTTTTTCTTTTATTAGAAGCAGGGTCTCTGATTGTATTCCTAAGTCCTTGATCCATTATGAGTTGAGTTTTGTGCATGGTGAGTGATAGGGTTTAATTTCATTTTGTTGCATATGGATTTCCAGTTTTCCCAGCACCATTTGTTGAAGAGGCTATCTTTTCTCCAAAGCACGTTCTTAGCACCTTTGTCTAATATAAGATAATTGTAGTTCTGCTAGGTTAGTCTCTGTGTCCTCTATTCTGTACCATTGGTCTCCCAGTCTGTTTTGGTACCAATACCATGCTGCTTTTGTTACTATTGCTCTGTAGTACAGTTTAAGGTCTGGTATAGTGATGCCACCTGCTTCACTCTTCCTGCTAAGGATTGCTTTAGCTATTCTGGGTTTCTTATTTTTCCAGATGAATTTCATGATTCTTTTTCTATTTCTATGAGGAATGTCATTGGAATTTTGATCAGAATTGCATTAAATCTGTATAGTGCTTTTGGTAGTATGATAAATGTTCATCATCACTAGCAAATCAAAACCACTCTAAGATTTCATCTCACTCCAGTCAGAATGGCAGCTGTTATGCATAAAACAACAGTAAGTGTTGGCGAGGATGTGGGGAAAAAGTTACACTCATACACTGCTGGTGGGACTGCAAATTGGTGCAGCTGATATGGAAAGCAGTATGGAGATTTCTTGGAAAATTGGGAATGGAACCACCTTTTGACACAGCTATCCCTCTCCTTGGTCTATACCCAAAGGACTTAAAAACAGCATACTACAGGGACACAGCCACATCAATGTATATAGCAACACAATTCACATTAGCTAAACTGTGGAACCAACCTAGATGCCCTTTATGAATGGATAAAAAAATGTGGCATATATACACAATGGAATATTACTCAGCAATAAAAGAGAATAAAATCATGGCATTTGCAGGTAAATGGATGGAGTTAGAGAAGATAACGCTAAGTTAGCCATTCCCAAAAAAACAAATGTCGAATGTGTGTGTGTGTTTTTTTTTTTTGGCTATAAGGAGGCTGATTTACAGAGAGATAGGGAGAAGGAGCATGGGAGGAATAGATAAACTCTAGATAGGGCAGAGAGGTTGGAAGGGAAGGGAAGGGAGGGGGCATGGAATAATTAATGATGGTGGAATGTGATGACCATTATTATCCAAAGTACAGGTATGAAGACACAAATTGGTGTGAATATGCTATGTATACAACCAGAGATATGAAAAATTGTGCTCAATATATGTAATAAGAATTGTACTGCATTCTGCTGTTATATAAATAAAAAATAAAATAAATTTTAAAAAAGAAAGAAAAAATATAAAAAGAAAGAAAGAAAGATGTTCTCTGGCAGGAAAAGTCAAGGGTAGAAGCTAAGATGATCTGTCAAGAGAAATTCAAAGCAAAATTCAAAGTTTCCCTGGATACTCTGAGATAGCTTGGTATTATACTTAAGTGCCAATTAAAAATCTTTTGCTTTAATGTATGTATTTCAACTTACTTCTTGATTCCCCAGTTATATAAAAGACAGAACAACTAGTTTATAATTATAAACAGTCTCCACATTCATGTGTCCAGGATATAGTCTTGGCTAGAGGTTTCTTTTTTTTTTTTTTTTTTTTTTTTTTTTTTTTTTTTAATGATGCAAACAGTTTATGTCCTCCCATACTGACAGATAAAAACACATACATTCTCTAAGCACAAAGCTTATAGTCACAAATAACTTTCTGCTTAAAGACAATTTCAATTAATAACCACAATGGGAATTTAGTTATTTAATGCAACCACTAATCTAACATGTCACCAATAAAATCTAAGCAGATTTATCACAAAACCAGGGTTATATTCACTGGACATGCATTAATAATCTATACAACTTAACATTACACCAGAAAAGGAATTTATAAAAGTTCTCTTAATTTTTGGTGGTTTTCAAATTTCATGGTACAATTACCAAAAAAACTGTAAAAACAGATTTCAAATATATTCAATAAAATGGTAAAAAATTGAATAAGCCTTTAAATTTTTATACTCAAGATTTAAAACATCAAGCTTGCCCCAATCTGTCAAAATTGACAGATAAATATTTACAATGACTAGACAGACTTTAGTTACATCGGTATTGGAGGTCTACTCCCTCCTCTCAAAACCCTTTGGGGTTAATTTCTCAATGAAAAACATGTCTTTGTAAATACTGTGGATAATATAAAATTTAAAACATACCTACAATGAGGACAGGAATGAAAATAACATATAAGTCAATCTTTTTTCTGACCTGTTAGCATAAAGCCTTCTGGCTCCCGGTCAACACTGTCCCGTAATATAAAACTAGTAAGAGTAGAATAACTTCACCCTGTTGTAGTGGCTGACATTCTTCTACAGAATTACCTTTCACTATTTAACAAATCAGGGCTTAAGCTCCATTATTCTGCTTCTACAGAGTATAATTAGCAGAGCACCAAATTTATACACTGGTATAGAAACTTAAAATGCTAAGCACACTTTTCAAACAGAAGTAAACTATTTTTTCCATGTACCACATTGTTCTCAAAACTTATGTGGCTACCAATAAGAAAAGAATTAGGGAAGCTTTGAACATATCTTGCACTTTTCATTAAGGCTAAAGTGCAAAATATCTCCATATTTCTGACATTTTAATAGGGTAAAAAAAAACATCAAACACATAATAAAGGAACTAAAGTAACAGTAGGAACTAATACAAAAAGCTTAAATAAACAATTGAGGACTATGTATTACTATCAATTTAATTTTTCTTTCTTCAGAGAAATATGTCAATGACCCATGTGCTCATAGAACTTAAGGTTTTGATTCTCTTCCCCAAGACCAGAACATCTAAACTTACAGGGAGGAAAAAAGGAAAAAAAAAAATAACATTGCATGACAATGAACACCAAGTTCATAAAGAACCTCTTTTAAAAACGAGATATTATGGAAAAAAATACCATGAAAATAATAATCCTATGAGAATTGTTTTTAAGCACAGTAAGTTTGAGCATCAGTCTTCATGAAGATACTACAGTTTATATAGAAAACTATAAATATACACAAGGAAAAAAAGTCAGAATACATATTAACAATCTGTAGGCCTAAAAAACTTTTGAGGGGAGACGGAAAGGGACGGCCAACTGAATCTTCACTTAAGAATACAGAACTATGAAAAATTCCCAGGTCAAAGGTGCTCCCAATGGAACCATACTTTGTGAAAGCACACAACTTAGATATATTCTTCAAAGGAAAGCAAAAGTACTGAATAACTATAGTCCCTTCCAAAAAGTAAATCTTAAATTAAGGGGAAATGATTCTAAAAGTGTAAACGAGTCTGGCTCAGAAAGAAAAATTGAACAACATATCCAAGATCTGTCCATAAAAGTAATGATGGTACATCTTTAATATTAAAGAAACAGGCTATAAAAAAGTTCAGTCTCAGAATTGGTTTTTAAAAGCTCATTTGTGCTCCTTGGTGGGTGCGTAATAAAGTTCCATGGGTTTATTCACTTTCCAGTACTTCTCACTGACCAATTCCAAAGAAAAAGAGCCATTTAATACAGTGAACTGGCCACTTGCTGTTGCTATATAAATGGTATACTGCTTCTCACTGGCTGTGTCAAGGTTCATCTGGTTTGATTCTCCCTTGCTTCGAAGTTCTTCTAAAGCTAATCTCACAGCCAGATACTTGGATAAGTGATCAACAGTGGCATTACCTGAAGTCTTTATATATCTTGTCTGTGCACTGTCATCTTTTTCCATAAGTGTGGGATGAGGCCTGAATACTAATTCAATTTCACTAGCACCATCCATTACTGGATCAATTGCCACTGTTGCATTGTTATTATCAAGTTCAAGCCCAGAATCATCAGATGTTTTGGTCCGTTTGTTACTAGGGCCTGCTTCCTGATTGCTATGTGTGGATGCATTACTACAATGTGAACTGTCACCATTATCTTCTGCTCCACTGCCATTTTCAATCTGCTGTTTCTTGCCTCGCTGTAATCTGTTCATGGCCTGTATCTTCAGTCCTTCCTCAATGCTATGACTGAGTGCCTGTTGATTATTGTGCTTGTTGATCCTGGCTAATACTCTCTCTTGATGAGCTTCATACTCATCACGACTTGGATAAATTTTGCTGATGAGTGCATCAAAGTTTGGATCTGGCCTGAGTGATCTTTTGGAAACTAGCTTTTTCCGACAAGTAGGACATTCTTTGTTGCCACTTCTAAGGGCTGTGATAATACAATCTGCACAAAAACGATGCAAACACTCCTTTGTAGTCATGGTGTTCTTCAACATATCCAAACAAATTGGGCACATTAATTCACTGTGTAGACTTCTAGGTGAAACCACAATCTCCAGGCCATCTGTTATTGCCTCCTGAGGTGTTCGTTGTAATTCATATAAACTGAGTTCCCATGTTTTGCTTAATGGTTGAGTTCCATTTGTCTGCACAGCCTGAGACATTGCGGCTCCTACCCCAGCCCGGGGCTCCGCTGGCCGCGGCCGGAGCGAGACTCAGGTATCAGCCGCCGCGGCCGCCGGCGCCGCCGCACAATATGGCGAGCCTCGGCTTCCGCAATGGAGCTCGGGAAATACAACAGGGGCCGCTCAATATTCATGAGAGACGGAGGGGAAGCCGGCTCGGCCGGCGCTACGGGGAGGGCGGGAAGAAGCGAGTGAGGGAGGAGGCGGAGGCGCGGGACGGGGACGTGCCGAGGTTTCTTAATTTTATTCAACTTCTCAAGAAATGAGCCTTTGGTTTCATTTATTTTTCTCTATCATCTTTTTGTTTCTATATCATTCATTTCTGCCCTTTATTATTATTATCTTCCTTCTCCTTATTTTGGGCTTAACATCAGATCATTGATTTGAGCCCTTTCTTCCTTTCCAATATAGGCATTTCAGGTTATAAATTTCCCTCACAACACTGTTTTAGTGGCATTTCACAAATTTTGATATGACATTTTCATTTCTCATTTAGTTTAAAATTTTCTTTGAGATTCCTCTTTGATTCATGGGTTATTCAGAGTGTACTATTTAATTTGAAAACTTTGGGGGTGTTCCCAGAGAGCTATCTATGATCAGTCTCTGTTACAGCTGCATTGTGGCCAGACATACTTTCAGTGACTTGAATTTTATTGAAACATGTTTGATGGTTTAGAATGTGGTCTTTCCTGATAAATGTTTCTATGTGTAAATGGGAACAAAGTATATTTGGCTATTATTGATGGAGTGTTCTATAAATGTCAATAAGGTCTTTTTATTGGTGCATTATAATTATACAATATAGTTGGATTCACTATACCGTATCTGCACACGTGCATAACATAATTTGATCAATCTCATTCTCCTTTCCCTTCCTTTTCCCTCCCTTCTGCTGTCACCCAATCTGCTAGCTCTATTATACTGATCTCTCCTCTACTGCTATTATTTTACTTACTGCATTATAATTATATATAAAAGTGAGATTCATTTGGGGTATATTTGTACATGGGCATAGCATATTTGGTAGGTTTTGTTGCCCAGTACTTCTCCTTGCCCTCTTCTCCCTCCCATATCAATCATTTTCTTCTTCTGTTAGTATCCTTTCTGTTTCCATGAGACCTCCTACCCCCACTTTTCTTTTTTAAATTCTCTCCACATCTCCCTCCAACTTCTCCAGCTTCTGCATGTGGAAGAAAACATTCAACCTTTGACTTTTTGAGTCAGACTTATTTCACTTAGCATGATGTTCTCCAGTCCCACTCACTTACCAGCAAATGAAATAACTTCCATTCTTCTTTATGGCTGAGTAAAATTCCATTGTGTGTATCTACTATTGCACACTACAGTGACACATGCATACCAATGCTTATAGCAGCACAATTCACAATGGCCAAGCTGTGGAACCAGCCTAGGTGTTCACCAGCAGACAAATGGATAAAGAAAATGTGGCATATATACTTAATTAGGTCTTCTATATTAGTTGGTTGTTAGTATTAAGTCTTCTATATTATTGTTCATTTTCTATCTACTTGTTCTACTAATTACTTAGAGGAAGGAGCTATATAGTTGTAGATTTGTCTATCTTTCCTTACAATTTATTAGTTCTATGCTTTATATATTATAAAGCTCTGCTGTTCATTGCAATGAACATTTAGGATTATAACAGTCCTCTTGATGAATGGATTCCTTTATCATTATAAAATGGGTTTATTTATTATGATAATATTTGTGCACAGAAGTCACTTTGATATTAATATAGTCATTCCTATTTTTTAAAAAATACTTTCAAAAAATTTTAATATTTTTTCCTGAATCCCGTTAATTATATTCTTTGTACCACTATTTTTATTTGCACAATTAGTTTCTTTTCACAGATTATAAATCTAGTGAGGCAGCAGTCATCTATAGCTGAAAGGAACAATCCTCACCAGGTACCAACCCTGTTGGCATCTTGGTCTTGGACACCCAGGCTCCAGGACTCTGAGTATCTCAGTGACTGTTCTTTAAGTTATTCAGCCTATGGTATTTTGTTATGGCAGGCAGAGCTGACTAATGCACAAAGGCATGTGGGTAAGATAAGGCAGTTGCGCTCTTCCCACTAAAAGGCAAGTTGGGCTCTTGGGTGTCCAAGACCAGCAGTCTATTGGAGAGAGAAAACAAAACAAAACAAGAAGTTTTTTGGCAGGGGGAGGGGAGATTGCTTTTCTCCAGAGGGCTATATTCAAACTGTGCCTCATTAGCTACCACTATAACTCACTCCAGACTAAGATAGTTAGACTTTCTATAACCTCTTTTACAAGCAAACTAATTCTAAATGAAAGCTCAATTCCCTAAGAACTGACCACTGGCATAATGGGGAAGTACAAATCTTTATTCTATCATCAGGTCAGTGTTTAGAGATTCTCCAGCAATATCCACCTCAGAGGTATAGAGACCCATCATAGTATCTCTAAAATAACTATTATTTATGAAATCACAGGAACAAAGCTAAAGAGGAAATGGCTAGAAAGAGGCTCTAGTGGTCAGGAATGGATTTACTGAGAAGGAGACATTTAAGCAAAGGCCAAAAGGAGGTTAGGGTGTGAATTATGCAAGTTTCTAAGGAAAGAGCATTTCAGGAAAAAAGGAACAAGAAATGCCAATGGTCCAAAGAAGGACATGTTCAAGTTAAATTACTGACAATTTCATGAATCTCTTTAAAGGATTATTTAAAGCTTAAAAGATCTTAGTCATATAATTATTTTTATTTGCCAAGAACCATCTCCTCTCATCCCCAACAAAAGTTTCAACTCTTACTTATGCCAGAAAACTTAATGATTAATTTAATCAATTATCACAGTAATAACAGAATCTGATGTAGAACAGAGCTAGATCTGAAAAATAACACTGGGCTGGGGTTGTGGCTCAGTGGTAGAGTGCTTCCCTAGCACACATGAGGCCCTGGGTTTGATCCTTAGCATCACATAAAAACAAATGTAAAAAAAAAAAAAAAAGATATTGTGTCCCTCCTACAACTAAAAAAAAAAAAAAAAACTAAAGAAAAATAACACTGATGAAAATATCTTTAAAAATTATTGAAACACAACATGAGCGTTACTATCCTCAATAGTTTGTTATAGGACTGTGAAAACCTGTCTACTTCTGAGAAGTGAGAATGGCCTAAATAAATAAAAGGTGTGATATGAGCTACATTAGCCACCAATGTATAGTCGTCATCCTAGCAATGGTAGGGAAAATGATCATAGTGGCATCTGAGTGTTTAACATATGACAGGCATTGTACCAAGTGTTTTACACACATTATCTCACTGAGGCCTGACCTCAGCCCAGAGAGGCAGGTTTCCCTAATATCCCCACCTTGCCAGAGGGTCAATGGCAAAACCAGAATTCAAGCCCAGGCAGTACGACTCAACACCTAAGCACCATGCATGTCACCACTCAGTGACTACTCCTGCTGGTCCTGATGCATCTGACACTTATTTACGGATCTTGTTTTGTTTGTTTTGCTTCGTGGTACTGGAGGTTGAACCCAAGGCTTCCTACATGCTCTGCAAGCACTCTACCCTGGACTAGCTCCCTACCTTAGTTCTTTTCATGTAAGTGATCCATTAAAATGTGATTATAATGTTTGCATACTCAGGATTTTAATTTTTCCTCTTTCCTACTTTTCCTATCTTTGTGCTCTACTAGGGGAGTTCAAATAATTGTTCAGGATTAAAGGCATAACCACATGTCCTGATTTGCCTAGGAGAGTCTCAGTTTACACATTTTGGCTCATCCTATCAGTGTCCCCTTTCACTCTCCTAAAGTAACCTGGTTTGAATGATAAATTATACGATCCCCCACTTAATAATCACTTTCTTCTTTGCTCACTGTCTTTATTATTAAACAATGAAGTTTACTAAATTGGCAACATTCTTTCTTTGGGGGTATAGTCTCACCACATCTCTTCTATTCAGAGTATCAGCTCTCAACATTTAAAGCACCATTTTTCTTGTCTTCAAATGGCTCCACAACTCTTTCCCAACTCTTATGTCTGATCTCATCTTCTCCTACGTCCTGTCCCATTCCTTATTCTTTTCTCTTAAATGAATCCTTTGTCTCTCTCACCCACTCTTGCCTATATCTTCTTTTATGCCACCCCTACACTTGGAACAAACCTACTAATCCACCGAATGTCTGTATCTTCTAAGCGCTGTTTTAAAAGTCACTTAGTGAGGCCTACCTGAGCTTACCCATCCACCCACCTGGATTCTGAATTCTTCACAGTAATCTTTGTGAGGCTCTAGTTTGAAGTGTTATTATTTTTATTATACTACTATATGGTTCATGATATTCACTCACATCAAAATGAATGTGAATCTTGACAAAGTTTATAGTTCAACATTTGGGCTTTCAGCTAAATCTATTAACCAAAGGGAATACATCATGCATAAGGATCTTGCTAAATATTTTAAATCCAACCACTACTTTTAGAGGTTACAGGGGCAAACTCTCCAAAGTGGATATTTGACTATCAAAAGGGAGGTCATATTTCTTGGTAGTACATAAAGAGTCACTCTCAATTTCATGGAGGAAAACAGGTGAAAAAGAGCTCTGGCCTCGCTCTGCTACTGTCTCCTATAATTTGCCCTCTGAACACTACCTTTGTGCCTCTTTGGGGTTAAAGGCTGCAAACTCAGTGAACTAGTATAATGAGCTAATAAATTAGAAATCCCATTAGCCTATTAAGTTGTTTTAGTGGACCTGTACATTAAATAAGAAAGATAATATCAGATAACACTGTAATTTCTGAACATCCTGGTTTGTTTAAAATGAGTACAATGAATTAAAATTCAAAGCTGAAATAGGACAACACCAAAAGATATTTTTAATGAGATAATATATCAAAAAATTATAGAATGAAAACTAAACTCAATTCAAATATTTGAATAACAAGATTAACAGGCTTGGAAATTTTTTTTTTCTTCTTCTTGTACTGGAGATTAAGCCCAGAGGAACTTCATCACTAGCCCACATCCCCAGCCCTTTTTAAAATCATTTTTCAGTTTTGAGATAGGGTCTTGCTAAATTGTTTAAGGCCTCATTAAGTTGCTGAATCTGGCCTTGAACTTGCAATCCTTCCATCTCAGTCTCTAAAGTTGCTGGGATTAGTTGCTGGGTAGCATGCGCTACCATGCCCAGCTGGGAAATAACT